GAAATATATCATTTCAAAATTGTAAATTAGATATGAGTAGACAGAGATTGATAGAGAGATATGAAGTGGCCAAAATTAGATAGATAGATAGATAGATAGATAGATAGATAGATAGATAGATAGATAGATAGAAATGCAGATGTGAATAGACTGAGAGTGATAGATGTGAACAGACAGAAATAGATATATAGATACATGTAAATAAACTAAGATAGATAGATAGATAGATAGATAGATATAGATAGATAGATATAGACTGAAATAGATGCGAACAGACTGAAATAGATCTGAAGAGATTGAAAGTGATAGAAGGATGTGAAGTGACTGAGATAGATAGATAGATAGATATGAACAGATGAGATAGATAGATAGATAGATAGATAGATAGATAATTGAAGAGACTGAGATAGATAGATAGATGAATAGACTGATAGATAGATAGATAGATAGATAGATAGATAGATAGATAGATAAATATGAATAGATAGAGTGATAAATAAATAGACAGAAATAGATATGTAGATACATGTAAATAGACTGAGATAGATAGATAGATAGATAGATAGATAGATAGATAGATAGATATAAAAGACTGACATAGATATGAATAGGCTGAAATAAATAGATCGATAGAGAGAGAAAGAGAGAGAAACAGACTGAAATAGATAAATAGGTAGATAGATATGAACAGATGAGATAGATAGACAGGCATAGATAGATAGATAGATAGATAGATAGATAGATAGATAGATAGATAATGAATAGAGTGGAATAGATAGATAGATAGAATATAAAACACTGACATAAATATAATGTGACTGAAATAGCTAGATAGACAGATAGAAAGAGAGAGAGAGAGATAAACAGACTGAAATACAGATATAATAAAATTATATATATATATATATATATATATATATATATATATATATATATATATATATATATATAAAAAATAATAAAAAGAACAGTAAAATTTATAATCTGGTGTTCTTAGCAATTATTTTTATTCAAAAAACAGTTCTTGATAGTTGTGAAACATCGAAATTTTCTGGAAATGATTATAATATATATATATATATATATATATATATATATATATACAGGCTGTGAATTTTAAATTTGTTTTTGATTTTGTCGACTACGTAGTATAATAGGGTCACTGCATACTGTACTGCTTGGCCTTCATGCTAAATGCTCCTGTACAAACATTTCAGAGTGTTTGGATGTCAATCTGAGGACAATCAAAGGATTCAGAGAGTGTTGGATGAGTCTAATAGGGATTACAAAGGTACAGCAGCTCTGAAAACTCCTTCTGATCATTCTTATAAGAAAAGAACTTCAGAATTTGTTGGTGACTGCCTCAAACTCAGCACAGAAACTTACATTATTTACCTGTAGGATGTAGTGCTGCCTTGGGTCAAGAGGGTGGCTGCTTTAAGAACCTATGTCTGGCAACAGGACTCTCCAACATGCCACACAAGCAGGTGAACTAAGTCATGGCTGTCAGACAATTTCTGCAACCACATCACCCCTTACATCTGATCACCTAACTCCCCAGACTGCAACCCCCTTGATTATTATGTGTGGAACACAGTTGTGCAAGAGACCAACAAAACTTCTTGTAACACCAAAGATGAACTGAAGGCAAGGATTATGGCAGCATTCAGCAACTTAAACAAGAAATCTATCCAGAAGAGTTGCAGGAGATTCCAAAGTCATCTGCTTTATTGAATAAATTTACTGTTTAGTATTTCAAGACATATATCTGTTAAAATGAGATGTCAGTGTTATTTTCACTTTTGTCTCATTTCGTTGACAATTTATTCATCACACCCTGTATGTATATATATATATATGTGGATGTGTGGGTGTGCTTGTGTAGATAGATAGATAGATAGATAGATATGAAAAACTGAGACAGATTGATAAATGGGATGATGAGACAAAGATGGATAAATATATAGATTGATAGATAGATAGATAACAAAAGGCTGTGAAGAATGTGAAACAGAATGAGATAGATAGATAGATAGATAGATAGATAATGAATAAGCTGAGATAGATAGATAGATAGATAGATAGATAGATAGATAGATAGATAGATAGATAGGGAAAGAGTGAGAGATAGTTGTGAAGAGAGTGAGATAGATAGATAGATAGATAGATAAGGAAAGAGGGAGAGATAGTTGTGAAGAGACTGCAATAGATATATAGATAGATTAATAGATTGATAGACAGAAACAAAATGAAATCGATATATAGATAAGATTAAAAGATTGATAGACAAAGAAGATAGATAGATAGATAGATAGATAGATAAGGAAAGAGGGAGAGATAGTTGTGAAGAGACTGCAATAGATATATAGATAGATTAATAGATTGATAGACAGAAACAAAATGAAATCGATCAATAGATAGATAAGGAAAGAAAGAAAGATAGTTGTGAAGAGACTGCGAAAGATAGATAGATAGATAGATAGATAGATAGATAGAAACAGAATGAGATAGATAGATAGATGAATATATAGATAGATAGGGAAAAAAAGAGAGAGAGAGAGAAATAGTTGTGAAGAGACTGAGATAGTGGAATTACAGTTTTAAATACGGACAGGTCAACCCAATCGTCTCCCTAAATATTTTATTGCTTTGCAAAAATTCCAGCTTAATAACCATTGCTCAATGGCGTTGCACTCATCTCGGGGATTATCTCTCCATTTCTGAATCCCAGGTCCCTAATGTGCACACATGTGCGCACACATACACACACACCCCCACACTTGCATGCATACACACATGCACCTCACCACCCCACACACGCACATATGTACAACATTGTAAATTGTAGACATTAAGTCTTTGGACAATCTGAAGTATACTTATTGATAAAAATACACAAAGATTTTATGTCCACACACACACACACACACACACATATGCCGGGGGAAAGAGAGAGAGAGTAAGAGGTACAAACGGATATTGAACGATGCACACACACACACACATGTATTAACATAATCCTTGTTCCCACCCACACCACATACATTATGACGATTGATTTTTTTTTTTTTTTAGTCTAAATGAGGCAAAATTGATTTTTTTTATTCTTCTTTCTGTCTTTCCTCATTTCAATTTCAGTGTGTGTTTCGATGACATGGTGTCAGATTTTATTAGGCAGGCCAGTGTTTCCACAATAAAATTTGTATTAAACAATTGATGCTTATAAAACATTCAGGATATACTTATCGATAAAGGATGAATATACAATGTCATTATCAGTTCATAATGTCTGTTTAGGTTAGAAATATTTACGATACCTGATTTGGAGGTGGGGGTATCAGATTTTATTATGCAACCCAAATGTTGCTCATCATATTGTAAATAAATGCATATAATACGATAGGAATTGATATTTATTATTTTTATTTCAGATAAATAAAGATTGCTGTGGGTCATAAGAATATATATCAGTCTAATCACATCACATCAATCTATCTACCTCAGTTTGTTCATATCTTTGTCCGTCTGCTTATATCTATCTATCCATCTATCTGACTATCTGTCTGCTCATATCTATGTCAATCTATTTAAGCCTATCTATCCATTTCAATCTTTTCTTGTAGTCTTTTTGCATCTCTCTGTCTCTTTTTAGTTCTCCTACTATTCTCTATTTCTCTCTATGAAGCTATCTATCTGTATACCTATCAGTCTGTTTCTATCTATCTATCTATCTATCTATCTATCTATCTATCTATCTATCTATCTATCTATCTATCTCAGTCTCTTCACAATTATCTATCTATCTCTATATCTATCTCATCTGTTCATATCTATCTATCTCAGTCACTTCACATCCTTCTATCACTTTCAATCTCTTCAGATCTATTTCAGTCTCTTCGCATCTATTTCAGTCTATATCTATCTATCTATCTATCTATCTTAGTTTATTTACATGTATCTATATATCTATATCTGTCTGTTCACATCTATCACTCTCAGTCTATTCACATCTGCATTTCTATCTATCTATCTATCTATCTATCTATCTAATTTTGGCCACTTCATATCTCTCTATCAATCTCAGTCTACTCATATCTAATTTACAATTTTGAAATGATATATTTCAAAATAAACCTTAACCAACAACTCTCTTCAGATTATATCCATAAATATTTTATTAAATAAAGTCAATGCAAAAGAGTTTGATTGCAGATTGAAACAATGAGGTTGACAGCTACAATTTATAACAGGTAATGTAATATTTAGGGAGATAATTTGTTGGACCTGTTGTTTTTAAAACTGTAATTTCACTTGGATATTTGGTAAATCAAAACAACCTCTTTGAACTCGTACAACTATAAAGCAAGAAAATATCACTTTGCCTCTTATAAATTGAAACTCTCAACCTCAGTGGAATCAAACCTTTTTTTTGTTTTGACTTTATTTCATAAAATATTTATAGATATAAACTGAAGAGAGTTGTTCGTCAAAGTATATTCTGATATATGTCATTTCCAAATTGTTAATTAGTAGACTGAGATAGATAGATAAATAGATAGATAGATAGATAGATAGATAGATAGATAGATATGAACAGTCTGAAAGGAATAGATAGTTATAGACTGGCATAGATATGAATAGACTGAGATAGATAGATAGAGACTGAAATACATACACAGTTAAATATGAAGAAACCAAGATAGATAGACAATGAAGAGACACATATAGATAGATAGATAGATATAGACTAACATAGATATAAATAGTCTGAGATAGATAGATAGTTATAGACTGATGTAAAGATAGATGGATAGATGTATAGATAGATAGATAGATAATGAAGAGACTGTGATAGATAGATAGATAGATAGATAGATAGATAGATAGATAGATAGATAGATAGATAGATAGATAGATAGATAATGAAGAGATCGTGATAGATAGATAGATAGATAGATAGATAATGAAGAGATCGTGATAGATAGATAGATAGATAGATAGATAGATAGATAGATAGATAGATAGATAGATATGAACAGTCTGAGAGGAGTAGATTGTTATAGACTGACATAGATATGAACAGACTGAGATAGATAAATTTGAAGAGACTGAAATAAATAGAAAGACACATAGATATATACATAGATAATGAAGAGACTGTAATAGATAGATAGATAGATAGATAGATAGATAGATAGATAGATAGATAGATAGATAAGATAGATATGAACAGTCTGAGATAGATAGATAGATGTGAAGAGACTGAAATAGATAGCTAGCTAGATAGATAGATATGAATAGAATGAGATAGCTAGCTAGACAGATGTGAAGAGGCAAAGTAATATTTGAGGACATAATTTGATCAACCTGGTGTTTTTTAAAACTATAATTTTAATTGGATATTTTGTAAATTAAAACAACTTCCTTGAACTCATACCACGATAAAGCAAGAAAATCCTGCATTCACACATTTTCTATACTTGCCAAAGAAAATAGTAAAAAAAAATAAGTTAAATGAAATGGAAATTCAACTGAATAATAAAGTGTTTGTCATTTTAAAATAGCAATTAACAAATTTGAAAATAAATTATCAAAAGTTACAAGCATTAAATGGATCGTTTAGAATTTTGTTGAATGATAAGTAAATTAAATATCAACTAAAAATTATTTCAGGCAAATGAATGAAAATCTTGAGATTAATTTAATGTCTATAATTCATTTTCTTTTAATAATTTACATATTTTCAGCTTAAATATAAATTATTTAAAAAAAGATTGACATTGATATGAACAGACTGAGATAGATAGATAGATAGATAGATAAAGACTGACATGAATATGAACATACTGAAATAGATAGATAAGTAAATACTGACAGATAAACAGACTGATATAGATATATAGTTAGATAGATAGATATGAACAACTGAGATAAAAATAATGATGGAACTTAGATAAGAAAAGATTGAGATAAATAGATATGAACAGTCTGAGATAGATAGATAGATAGATAGAGAGAGAGAGAGACAGAGAGAGAGAGACAGACAGACAGACAGACAGACAGACAGAGACAGAGAAACAGAGAAACAGACTGATAGATATATGGATAGATAGAGAGAGAGATAGAGAGTAAGAGAACTAAAAAGAGACAGAGAGATGCAAAAAGACTACTTGGTATGAACAGACTCAGATAGATAGATAGATAGATAGATAGATAGATAGATAGATAGATAGATAGATAGATAGATATAATAAGTCTGACACAGATAGCACACTGAAATAGATAATTATATAGAAATAAACAGACTGGTATAGATATATAGTTAAATAAATAGATAGATATGAAAAACTGAGATAGAAATTGTGATGAAACTTAGATAGATAAGAAAAGATTGAAATAAATAGATATGGACAGTCTGAGATAGATAGATAGATAGATAGATAGATAGATAGATAGATAGATAGATAGATAGATAGAAACAGACTGATAGGTATACAGATAGATAGATCCATAGAGAGAGATATAGAGAGTAGGAGAACTAAAAAGAGACAGAGAGATACAAAAAAGACTACTAGGTATGAACAGAGTCATAGATAGATAGATAGATAGATAGATAGATAGATAGAAAAAGCCTGACACAGATATGAACACACTGAAATAGATAAATATATAGAGATAAGCAGACTGATATAGATATATAGTGAAATGGATAAGAAAAGATAGATAGATAGATAGATAAGGAGAGAGAAAGAGAGAGAAAAACTGATACATAGATAGATATAAAGGCTCGCATTGTTATGAAAAGTATATATAGATAGAATTAAACAGTGACAGATAGGGGGATAATATAAAAAGAGACTGATATAGGCCTTAACTGTCTCCTAGATAGATATAAAAGACTGACATAGATATGAACAATCTGAAATAGACAGATATATTGATAGCTGTGAATAGACTGAGATAGATAGATAGATAGTTAAATATAGAGAGATAAACAGACTGATATATGTATATATATATATAGATAGTTGTATATTTAGGCAGTAATCCTTCCTTTATGCATGTTTCCTTAAAAACAACAGACAAGCTACTACAATTAAGTTTTTTATTTAATTTTTCTTGTGTTCAGACAAGAGCTTTCTTTTCTGGACAAAGGGTGTGTAACAACTGTCCTAATGTTTTATATTTCCGAGCGCTTTCGACTATACCTTTAGCCATTATCAAGGATGATTTGATTTTTCAGCTTAATTGAGTGTGTGCATTATGTGTATACCTCAGTGCTTTATAGAGATGTTTTTAATTTCCGAATACGGTTAGCACATTGTGGCTTTGTTCGTAGTTAATATTGTTAAGAGTTGGCTTTTTCTTTTTTATTATTAAAGCTTCCATTATTTTTAATCTTTTTTTACAAGTGGATGCACTTAATATATTTGTGTTTTCAACTAGATAAATATGAAAAAAATGAGATAGATATGGTGATGAGACTTAAGAAAACGTATACAGATTCATAATAATTAAATTAAATACCAAAAATCTTTGATTATATCAGATGAATTATTGAATGACCAATTTTTCTAAAAATTTTACGAATGTGCAGCTTAAGCATAAACTACTTAAATCACATTTTTACTGAGTTATGCCTCGCGCAAAGATTAATTAAATTTGAGTGTTGCAAATTTATTTTTTACAACTTTTGTTTCAAAAAAAGATTATGAATTTTTTTTTCTAAATTCCCCCTGTACCAGGCTCAAGAGCCACTTGATGTAGAGCATTACAGTCAAAATTATAATCATTAATGAGGTGCTAGATAGGAATGAAAAAGGAGGTTATAGGAAGTGAATATATGGAGGATAAATAATGATTGACCCTTGACATGATCATCTTAAGATTAAAAGGTCAGGGAAGCCTCAACGTTCCTCCCCGCCCCCGCAAGACGAGATCTCTTGGGAAAAACTGCCTGAGTGTAACTTTCTTCTTACTTCTATAAAAAATAACGTATAAAAGAAAATATATTAAATTTATATATATATATATATATATATATATATATATATATATATATATATATATATATATATATATATATATATTTTCGAAATTTTATTTTATGAAAGAAAATAAAACCTGCTGTAACAGTATTTTCACTATTGCCTCAATTAATGACGAAAAGTTAAAAAAAAAAAATGCAAATCAGATTCAATTACAAAAGAAAAAAAAAAAATTATTTCTAACCAGCTAAATAAGGGTTCATGCAAAAATTCATCCCTGCTGCTAAGGTCCGGTCCCAGTTCTCTCTTCCCCTACAAAGGAGGGCGGGTCACCTTTGAACCGTCCAATCACAGTCCATTTAAAAAATATATCAGCAGGTTCTTCAGGCCAGTAACACAGTGAGTGTCTTTTGTTCTCCCTTGACCTAAAAATTTTCTATATATATATATCTATATATATATATATATGTAAGCAAATATATGGATATAGATCCGACAGTATGAAGAAAAATATATGGAAAAAACAAACAAAAATCCTTATATACAATTATGCTGTTTTAATGTTAATATAATGTCAACGTCGGACGTTTCGGTCTAATAAACCATCTTCAGGACATATTCATAAAATATAATTAACATTATCAATTCAACATGACAAAGACGATGGACATAAGAACAAGACTTATCCAAACAGATAACTGAAAGCGGACTTATGAAGCAGGCATAATATCCATCTCACGCACGGTGAATACTAGACCTGGCTTCTTTAGTATTTCCCCTTTTCTAGCAAGATTAATGCTCGACTAGCGTACATATAAATTTTAGATCAAAATAGAATTCTTTTCATTTTTCATTTTTCATTCAAAATACTCAAATTTTAGGAATACGTTTTCACAGCGTCGCCCACGTGACGACAACGTGACCATGTTTAAAAAGAACGCTGATCTTATAAAACTTTCAGTTATCTGTTTGGATAAGTCTTGTTCTTATGTCCATCGTCTTTGTCATGTTGAATTGATAATGTTAATTATATTTTATGAATATGTCCTGAAGATGGTTTATTAGACCGAAACGTCCGACGTTGACATTATATTAACATTAAAACTGCATAATTGCATATAAGGATTTTTGTTTGTTTTTTCCATATATTTTTCTTCATATATATATATATATATATATATATATATATATAAAAAAGACAAGAGTAAACTTGTCTCACTATACCAATTTCAACTAAGGACGTGTACCTATGTTTCATAGACTACGCAAAGGCCTTTGCCAAAGTATGCCACAAGAATCTGATGGAACTGCTCAGCAACATTGATATGTTTGGGAAAGATATCAGAATAATCAAGAACCTATACTGGTAGCAAACAGCATGCATGCGCATAGGGAACGAGTTCAGTGAATATACAAAAATAGAAAGGGGTATAAAGCAAGGATGTGTCTTCTCACCTGACCTGTTCAACCTATACAGCAAGGCAATTCTGAGATAATTGGAAACCCTACCAGGATTTAGCATTGGTGGCCACAATCTTAACAACACAAGATACGCAGATGACACAATACGGATAGCAGACAAGGAAAAGAAATTATAAAATCTCTTACAGAAGGTAGCGACGGAGAGTGAGAAGAAGGGACTAAGCATGAACTATAAGAAGACAGAGAGCATGGTCATCAGTAAGAGGATGAGCCCAAAATGCAAGTGGCAGGTCGGGAACACTAGAATCAAACAGACACAGAAGTTTAGATACCTGGGAAGCGTTTTGACAGAGGGCGGTAAGTGCGACACTGAGATCTGTAAACGTATTGGGATGGCCAAGGACGCATTCCAAATGCTGAGCAGAGTATTGTGAGACAGGAGGATTTCTTTGGTAATAAAGAAAAGAATACTGAGCTGTTACGTGACAACTGCCCTTCTTTACAGCAATGAATGTTGGACAGTCTCCTTAAAGATGAAGAAGAGACTCAACGACGGAGATGCTGTTCTACAGAAAGATGCTGAGGATATCATGGACCAAGCGTGTGAGCAACGATGAGGTCTTAGAGAGGATGCAAACAAGGAGAAGGCTTATACTTAACATCAAAACTCCTTGGCACACCAAAGATGAAGAGGAAGAGGCAACTGAAGTTTCTGGAACACATAATGAGGAAAGAGGGCCTGGAGAATCTGATACACACAGGTTGAATAGAGGCAAAAAGAGACAAGGGAAAACAACACATAACATATCTAGCAGGCTTAAGCAAGTGGATGACAGAACGTGGTTTGTGGAAGATGGCAGAGGGAAGGATCTTGTTGAGAGCTGCAAGGGATAGAAGGAGGTGGAGGGCCATGATCATCTATGTCCTGAAAGGACATGGCACATAAAAAGAAAGAAAGTAAGTTCAACACTCACTGGGTGCTCCATACATGCAGCCTTGTGCCACATCTAATCTATGCTTAGTAAATTACTATAATAAAAGACAAAAATGGAAAACTTTTCATTCTATTTGTTCTGTCTTTGTAGATATATTTTATTTATATCTGAATTTTGCATATACACTAGACTACTTGTGACTGTTTCAGGTTATAAAACATTGAAGTTGATTTCGACGTTTCATTGATATGAAAGTTAATTTTATTTTGATTCAGTTAAATATTTCAATTGTTTTGTGTCATCATTGGTCTGGCTTACAAATTCGTGTTTAATGTTTTACTGATTGTTTCCGCCATTTAATAGGAATAGAATTTCCAGGATAAACTTAAACTTTAAATCAGATTGACTTAAAAATATTTTTTTAATATGCCAAAAAATATTTCTAAATCATATTCACTTGAAAACATTTTTTAAATATGCCAAAAAAATTTTTTTAAATATGCCCCAAAATATTTTTTAAATATTTATAATATTGTTTTTTTTTTATAATATTGTTTATTTAAAGAAAGCTGAAATATAAATAATTACTCTACAAGCAAGTGGACAGAATATTAAAGTGGGATCTGTTTGTGTCTGTCTTTAACTTAAAAAATATTTTAATTAAAAAAATTGTGCTTGAAGAAAGTTAAATTAAAATACATTCTGTATAAACAACTCATATTTTTAAATCTTATTCACTTAATCTGATTAGCTTAAATCATTATGGATGCATGACACAAACATGAACGCAATCAGACTTTTAGTATTAAATAGATAGATAGACATACTGGGTGCGATGGATAAATTGTCGTCTAAATTATGCAAAAATGAAAATAATAAATTTTAACAATATATTTATCAAAATTACGCAAAAATATCTTGAAATTTTAAAATTTATTCAATATTTCACCATTGGCTTCAATTACACAAAAAATCTGACGGTCTTTCTTTTTAAGAAATTCTGCCCTAATTCTACCTTAGTTCATCTTTTGGTGTGCCAAGGAGTTTATTCAATGAACTGTAATCACATAATTTGCTGATCGTTTAAATAGAAATAGAATTTCCAGGATAAACTTGAACTTTAAATCAGATTAACTTAAAAATCTTTTTTTTGATATGCCAAAAAAATATTTCTAAATCATATTCACTTGAAAATATTTTTTTAAATATGACCCAAATTATTTTTAAATATTTATAATATTGTTTTTTCTTATAATTTGTTTATTTAAAGACATTGTAAATAATTACAAGTACAAAACAACTGAAATAAAATAATTACTCTACAAGCAAGTGGACGAAACAGTAAAGTGTGGTCTGTTTGTGTCTGTATTTAACTTAAAAATATTTTAATTACAAAATTGTCTGTTTGAAGAAAGTTAAATTAAAAATTACATTGTATAAACAACTTCATACTTTTTAAATCTTATTTACTTAATCAGATTAGCTTAAATCATTATGCACTGGATGGATGCACAACATCTTTTTTAGTTAAATAGATAGATAGATAGACATACTGATGGATAAATTGTCGTCCAAATTATGCAAAAATGAGTTTTGTTTAATTCAGATTAACTTAAAAAATATTTTTTAAGATGCCAAAAATATTTCTAAATCATATTCACTTGAAAACATTTTTTAAATATGCCCCAAAATATTTTTTAAATATTTATGATATTGTTTTTTTTTTTTTTAATTTAAAGAAAGCTGAAATATAAATAATTACTCACAAGCAAAGCAGGATCTGTTTGTGTCTGTCTTTAATTAAAAAATATTTTAATTAAAAAAAATAGTGCTTGAAGAAAGTTAAATTAAAAGGAGATAACTGATAACTGACATCCATTAAACATGGCACGTGGAACTAGAAATAGTCCAAGTGAGTTTCAGTTCGACATTCCAACCACCTGAAAAGACCAGAGCGCATAACCCAGATTTAAATATGATAAAGATGAGAAGAATAATCCAAATAATATAAATAGTGTACTGATACCTCATCTCATATAGACTGAAAACTACATTCTGTATAACTCCTATTTTTAAATCTTATTTATTAATCATGGTAGGCTTAAATCATGTTGACAGACATAGGGTCTTTAGTATTAAATAGATAGATAGACATACTCTAAATTGTCCCAAATTATGCAAAAATGAAAATCATTGATGTTTCATTTTAACAGATATATTTACCAAAAATTACACAAAAAATATTTGAAATACTATAGAGTAAATTTATTCAATAAAATCGCCATTGGCATGGGAGACTCTTTTTCTCCCAGCATCTCTTCCCAACTGACCCTACTATGAATTCTGCCCTAATTTTACTTAGTTCATCTTTGGTGTGCCAAAAAGTTTTGTTGTTTTTCTCGCTGAACAATGTAATAATCATACCAGGAAATTTAAAATATATAAAATTGTCTGACAGCCATGACAATTCTATCATGGTGCATCGTTGACAGACAATTTCCAGCATCTACTCTCTTGACCCAAGTCTTGGGTAGACTCCATTTGATCATCTCTCCCGGACGGTCCCAACTGACCTCTATACAGTCAAAATCAATAACAATGTGCATACATTAAAATATAAACTATATATACACATGTGTGTGTGTGTCTCTCTCTCTATATATATATATATATATACATGTGTGTGTGTGTATGTGCATATGCTTGTGTGTGTTTGTGCATAAGAGAGTGTGACAGACAGAATGCACATTTGTATGCGTGAATATATGTGTATTTCCTTGTGTTTGAGTGATTGTGCTTGTATATTTGTATTTAAGACAGACAGTTCTTGAACATACGTGGGTGTGTAAATGAGTGGGAGTATTGGATAAAATCAATGTTCCAGTGTGGACAATTTATGCAGATTTATTAATGGATGGGTGACCTTGTGAACACGAATACAAATATTTCTGTATAAGAAATTTATGCATATTTGTAAATTGAACAAATATATTGAAAACATTGATATAAGTGTATATATATATATATATATATATATATATATATTATAATTATTTTAAAAAAATATGATTCCATCGCTACATAAGAGTTTGCATGTTTCAAAAACAGAAGCTAAAAACTTCAATTTAATTTTAGAAATTAAATTGAATTAAAGTACCCAGCTCTGTTTCATCCTCAAGTGAATTTTGAAATAACTAATCTTGAAATTTACAGAGCTTTATAAGCATATACATTTTTAATATTAATTACTATGGAAACAGCGAAACCAATTATTTTAATAAGGGACGTAAGGGTTTACATTTTCACTGACAACTATTGTATCAACATATTAGTTACATTTGGAAAGAGGTTAAGACAAGGTAGGGTTGGGGTGTCTATTTTCAAGCGAATGATGATATCTGTTTGATGCATATCATCTGGTCTATTTCAATGACAGAGAGTTATTGGCCTTTTTGTTACGCCGTTAAATTCGTATTTGTATATCTAAAGATTTTTTTCTAAAAGGGTTGTTTGTTTATAAATATGTCGTATTAAACTACAATTTGCCTTTTTGATGACTTCATAAAGAGTTTTTTTGTTTTTTGGAGGGGTTAAGTTTTTAAACCTATTACTTTAATTGAAATTGTTAATAGACTTTGAAATTTAAAATTTATTTTTTTTCCTTACAAAGCTTTTTATTTTATTTTGGCATAAGACCATACATGGGCAGGAGCTCCCAATTTTGATACTGTCTAAAATCATCTTTGTCTCCTTGTGGGTGATGAATTATTTTCCACTTTACAAGCCCTCTCACTGATTTATTGCTATTTCCATGGAAAGCATTCAGACGAACTACATTTCTTAGTTGGCCCCATTCACAGCTAAGACCCACCATTCCACGTACATTGTACTGAACCACCTTCATTTCCTATGTATACCATTTGTAAGATCTAAGTTTCCCTTGAGAAGCTTCTTCCCACAAACGGCTGCTTTATGGAGCCAACTCCCAAAAGGATGCTTCTCTGATCACTATAATCTTAACTTGTTCATGTTTAGGGTGGGGTAACCCAATAATGGCATCCCAAATTTCCAGGAACTGGTTCTATAAAAAACTTAGAACTTTCAAATCCTTAGAAACCTATTCTGCTTATTTTCTTTTTAATCCGAGAATGGAAGTAAATCACTGCTTTATTGCTATTTCCACGGAAAGCATTCAGATGAACTACATTTCTTAGTTGGACCAGTTCACAGCTAAGACCCACCATTCCACGTACATTGTACTGAACCACCTTCATTTCCTATGTATTCCATTTGTGAGATCTAAGTTCCACTTGAGCAGCTTCTTCCCACAAATGGCTTCTTTATAGAACCGACTCCCAAAAGGATGCTTCTCTGATCACTATAATTTTAACTTGTTCAAGTTTAGGGTGGGTTAGCCCAATAATGGCATCCCAAATTTCCAGCAATTGGTTCTTTAAAGACAGACAATCCTTAGGAACCTATTCTGCTTATTTTCTTTTCAATTTGAGAATGGAAACAAATCACTTTATATAGTATCAAAAAGAATTAAACCATTTTGATAATTTAATAGGAAACATTTATTTATTAAGATATTTCCAGATCAAAATTCTGTTCTTATCATATTTCTGTTCAGAAGTCTGATGTTTTTTGACTCTTCAGCTGTGTTATGGTTTCATAGCCACATTTGAACTGAATCGATGCAGTCCCAAAGATCCAATGGAAGAATATCAAATTTATGACTAGAAGACTTGCCACATTTTTAACTTCAAGCTGATTTCTTTTGTCAGAATAAATTATGTTCATCCCAGAAAATCCTCTTTCAGCCACTGCACAACTTACAGCAATGGTATTAATTATATTTTTATCTCCTTTGGATAGTTTTGGGTACATGTATATGGCTAATTCTCATTACATTTGTAACATAATCTTGGAAATCATTATTGTTGTTGTAGAGGGCATGTGACTATTAGAGTTTCACTAGGCATATACGAGCATAGCATAACTAACATTTTACCTAAACCATCGGCTATTAATATATAAGATTATTTTTGGATAATACAAGTGGTTTGCTTAGCATTTATAATTTTAAGAATCAATGTGAACCAGTAGGATGTCACCATTGTGTTAACCATTGTCTTCCCCCCATGTCCCCATAAACTATGTCTCTTGATATAGAGTGGTTCCTGGTCCTTATAAAGGGTGAAGATAATTGTATAAAAAAAAAAGAAAAAAATTGCCAAATGAAGGAATGAACTAGGTTAGAGGGTGAGGTAACTCATTTAAATTGGAAGTCAAATTTATTCAAGTTTATAAATAGCTATGGCTATTAACTATGAATAGTTGAACAAATACTACTACTTGTAAGTTAGTAACACTACATTACAATGGCGTCGCCGATATCTCAAGAACTGAGCGAATAATTATCATTGGATAATTATGAGTACACAGAAGTGTGGCTTAGGATTCTAACAGCTAAAGTGAGAACAAAAAAGTCGAAGGATGTGAATTCAGTTGGGAGAGAAAATGAGATAACTGATCTCTTCATGGCAACTGCTGGTTGTGAGGTCATTATAAAATTATCAACTGTCACGTCCCCAAAACAGTTGGAGCAAATGACATTTGATGATATAAGTCGACAAATAAGGAGAGCAATATAGATTCTGAAGATGAACAGTTGTTGGAGGAGCACTCCTAGGAAAAAAAGAAAAAAGATCACAATCTCCCATATCGAGACAATCTCTTAGGGAAAGGGAAGAAGATTGAAGACAAAAGCATCCAGAAGAAGTACCATTGAAAATAAAGGGATGAAACCTCTTCAATACAGTGAGAGGAGGTGACTCATTTACATAAGAAGTCACAAAGACTATAAATAGCTACAGCTATTACCCATGAGGCAGTTGAGTGTATACTTCTTCAGTAGCACTACATTACAGAGAGACTGTGTCACACCAAGCACCATAATGGGGAGGGCCTGTTTGTATTAAAATCAACATTCAAAATTCTGGATTGAACAGTGTCTTCTACCATCAAAAGATACAACCACAGTATCCAAAAACAGATTCTATTGTCATATTCCATGGAACAGACAAACACGGTGGATAAATAGTAACAGGTTTATTGTAGAAACCAGTACAACTAGCAAGGAAATAATAGTTATGCACATGGTCGTCACAAGTCAGTACTGTTGTGTGCGTGTTGTTATTTGAAGGCTGCTATTTCTCGCAGATCCCAGCTCGACTCTTCTGCCCGCTACTTATAGGTGATTACCACTTATAGTGCCACCACTAATGGGGGTAGCAGGTTATTCCATCACATCAGTATAGAAGTGTATTACTATTAAAAAGACAAATTCAATCTGCATTAATAGATCCACCCACACACACACCCACATTAAAACCTAGTTCTATCAAGCTCTCTAGGTATGTTATGCATTGTTTTCCTTTGTCCCTTTTGCCTTCAATCTGCCCTGAGAGTATCAAATTTCCCAAACCCTCTTTCCTCATTATGCGCCCTACAAATTTCAAGTGTCTCTTCCTGATGTCAAGGAGAAGTTTCTTTTTTGTTTCTATTTTCTCTAAAATTTTGTCATTGCTCATGTGTTCAGATAAGGTATCCTCAGCATCCTTCTGTTTAACCACATTTTGGCTGCTTCAGGCGTCTTCTTCATCTGTGAAGAGCTTGTTCAGCATTCATTGTCATATAGGAGTATTGATATTGCACAACAGATCAGTTCTCTTTTCTTTGTTTCTAACGAAATGTTTTTTTGTTTTCTTAATACACAGCTTAGCTTTTAGAAGGCATCATTTTCTATCCTGCTTTGCCTTCAGATTTCCGTGTTGCACTTTCTGTCCTCTGTTAAAACAATTCCCAGATATTTAAACTGTTGTACTTGTTTGGTTTCGGTATCTCCAAATTGTAATTCTCATGTTGCACAGTTACTTTTGTTAACAACTATGCATTCTGTCTTTTAGCAATTAATGTTTAGTCCTTTCTTCATGCCTTCCTTCACTACCTTCTGTAGGAGTTCTTGTAGTTTCCTTGCTGTGTCTGCTATCAACACTATGTCATCTGCATATCTTTATGTTGTTAAGATTGTTGTCTTTAATGATAAATCCTGGTAGGACTTCTAATTCTCGCAGAATTGTCTCGCTCTAT